GGTTCTGGGGATTGAACCCAGGGCCTTTACACCGAGCTACATCCCCAACCCTTTTTCAAGATAGTGGCCTGTTAACTCACCCAGGCTGGCCTTGAACTTACGGCCATCCTGCACACCTGCCTCCGACTGCTGGGATCAGTGGTGTCTGCACCATACCCAGCTAAGTGCAGCTCTGAGGGCTCTGCATTTCGGTAACTTAAGGGGAAGAGGTAGGCTGGGAGGATCCACCCTTGTGGGGCTGCGAGCCTCCTGCCTGGCATCCCACAAGCCTCTGCACCACGTCACCTGTCCAGCCTGGAACACGTCTTACGCCCCGCCCTATGCTACAGAGTCTGAAAAGATGGGGGCCTGGGAGACTGTCGCATTGGTGTGTAGGTGCGTCCTGTTAGATGGATTATCATCACCTTTCAGGGATGAGCCAGGCTTCTTTCTACAGTGTCAGTTCTGCCATCCCCCAGGGGTGTTCACAAAGGCCCTCTGCTGTCCAGGTGACACTGGTGCGCAGGCCCGGGCTGCACAGCTTTCCTCCGCCTGCCGAGACTGCAGTCTGTTCCTCCCTCGGCTGGGTGCACCCTGTTGGGGCCTAGGCCAGGAGAGTGACTTTAAGCACAAACCGTCACACTGATGCCTAAGGCCCATCGAGGTTCTCTCCATGGCAACAGCAGGGAGCCCCACCTGCAGGTGAACCCCAGGTGCCCAGGGCAGAAAGGGAGCTGTGAGCCAGTGCACGGGGGACATCAGCCAGAGAACAAACGGACAGCGACTGACCACAACATCAGCATTCACCGAGACTGACTGGACACTGAGGCCAATGGGAAGCAGGGGGTGACAGGGAGGTGGCCTTGGACACCAGGTCCCGCTGGCCTGAGGCCCCATCCTCCTGTCTTACTCTCCCTGGGGAGGGCGTCCAGATGCCTTTGTCACTGACCCTGTCACTAGGCCCTGGGGGAGAACCTGGGTTTGGTGCAGCCTGAGCAGAGACAAGGAGGGTGTGGCGGGACCTTGGGTGGCTCCCACCTCAGTGACATTCCCTGTCCTGTGACAGGATGTCCAAGCCTTTTTTTTCTCTTTTTCCCTTTTCTTTCTTTCTCTCTTCCTTCTTTCTCTTTCTTCTTCCTTCCCTCTTTTTCTTCTTCCTTCTTTTCTTCCTTTCCTTTCTTCCTTTTTTCTTTCCTTCCTTCCTTCTTTTCTTTCTTTCTCTTTCTTTCTTTCTTTCTTTCTTTCTTTCTTTCTTTCTTTCTTTCTTTCTTTCTTTCTTTCTCTCTCTCTCTCTCTCTCTCTCTCTCTCTCTCTCTCTCTCTCTCTCTCTTTCTTTCTTTCTTTCTTTCTTTCTTTCTTTCTTGACAGGCTCTTGCTATGCAGTTCAGGTTGGCCTTAAGCTCACTTTGTAGCCCAGGCTGGCCTCGACCTTGCAGCGATCCTCCTGCCTCAGCCTCCTAAGTGCTGGGATTACAGGCGTGCGCTATCACGCCAGGCTTCTAATGCACTCTTGCATAACTAATGCACTTATGAGTGAACCTGGGCCCTTGAGGAAGGTGTCTACCCCTCTTAAGGACCTAATCCCTTTTTAGGTTCTACCTCCCAGAGCTGCAACAATGTAATCAAATGCACACAAGTTTCTGAGGGGACAACCACTACCCAAATCACAGCAAAGTCCTTGCAGATGGGTTGGGGTCCCCCAACCCTCTCTCCCTGAGCAGTAGCTCCTGTGTCACATGGCTGCCCTGGCAGGTGAGCTGGCCCAGGGTACTTAGGTCTCAAGTGAAGAGAGGAGCCAGGTATGGTGGTACACCCCTGTAATCCAGCACTCTGGAAGGCTGAGGCAGGAGGATCACAAGTTCAAGCCTTGTGTGGGCAACTCAGTGACTTGACAAGACTCTCAAAAAGTGAAAAAGGGCTGGGACTGTGGCCCAGTGGTAGAGGGTCCCCGGGTCCAATGACGGGGCAGTCTAGGAAAGGGGCTTTCTGCTCAGGAAGGGGGTCCTTGGAGCGGGGGTTGTGTCCCTACTGCTCTTCCTAGAAGGTAAAGAGAGGACCAAGGAGGAGACTGGGTGCCCCAGTGAAGACAGCTAGACACGGAGACCCCTGGCCTGGAGGCTAGTGGCTGCCCCCACCTCCTGGGCACCCATCCTCCAACCCAGTCCTGCTCTGCCTTCCCTCTCCCTGGTGCCCTCAGCGCCTGTGTGCCAGCTGGCGGGTGCCTGTGATTCCCTGGCTAATGGGATGTGTACGGCGTGCTTGAGAGGCGCGGTCGGCTGCAATGCTCAGGGTGCGGGGAGGAAACGGGGGCTTGGAGGCCACAGGGCTGCTGAGGGTGGGACAGGGGCCCCGTGCACTCGACTGGGCACCAGGGACCTGGTGGGGACACTAGATATGCAGGTGCCCATCCTCACGTGGGGTGGCTGTGATGTGTCTCGGGTGCTGTCACCTAGCAGCTGCTCAGCACGGCCACGGCAGACCCTGGGGCCCCACTGTGACCTTTCCCCTCCCACTCTGCTGCAGAGGGGCCACTCAGCTGCCGCATCTGCAGCCCGTCCCTGGAGCCTGTGGTTTCAAGCAGAGCAGGTCAGAGCAGGAGGCCCCCGAAGCTTTGGAAAATAGGGTCGGAGAGAGCCTGGGTCGTCTTGGGAGAGAGCACAGACCTGGATTCCACCTAATTCACGGGAACCCTTTCGCAGATGAAAAGGAGCTGTGTTCCTTACAACACGGAACAGATGCAAACTGGGACTTCAGGGTGAAGCGAGTGGCGGGTTAGCCTACTTATTACCACTTCCTCGCTGTGTAGGTTGGGTGAGTTATGTAACTTCTCAGAATTCTGCTTTTGACATGAAGGTGACTACGGCATGCGCCTGCCTCCTCGGTGGGTGCAGGGTGCTGAGCGGGACCAGCACGAGCGGAGCAGTGCTGGCCCGCCCTTGGCACAGCTGGCGCACTTGGCGCTTGTTCTCATCCCAAAGTCTGAGCTACCTATCCCTGGAGGCGGGCAAGGCCGTCAGCTCCGGAGCACACAGCCGCGGAGGGGCGATGGGGACAGCAGAAGCGGGCCTCGCGGCGTCCTGGACACGGTGACCTCTGCGCCGAGGGTCCCTATTGGGGTAGCTCTGCCGTCACCACTCCTGCCCGCTTGCCTGCATCTGTCCCTAGGGCTGCCCGTCCCCGCCCCGAGTGTCTCAGCCGCTGGAAGTCAGGCAGGAGCAGGAAAGGAGCTTGCCCTTTCCGTGCCTGGGGGCACAGGAACCGACTGGAGCCTGGCCCGGCCGGGCTTCTCCCTGCAGCTGGGTGTGAGCCTGGCGAGCTGCCCTGACTGGCTGCGGTCGTCCGCAGGTGGCACTGCCCTCCAGATGTCCCCACAGCCCGGGAGCCATGGCACAGCGTGCTCCTGGGAGGCTGAGCTGCGTGCCCAGGGCTGTGTAAAGAAGCAGGGCACAAAAGGACCTCACCCGAGCCCCCCATCGTGGGTGCAGCGGGACACGGACAGTCTGAGTTGTGTCCTCACCAAGGTGAGGCTCTGCGGTGACCTTGTGCCGAGACATGAGCCTGGGCTCCAACTGCCTGTCTCCTTGGTTCTCCCTTCCTTCTTCGCCCCCGAGGTCCTCCAGCCACGCAGCCACGGGGGACCAACGCCGGTCCGTCGGGAAGGCACCGTTAAGTAAAGGCGTACTGGCCTTGGCACTCACCGCCCCAGCCTCCTGGTGACAGCTGCGATGGGCACCAGGTGGCTCCTCAGTGCGGGTGCAGGGTTCACCTCAAGCAGCGGCCCCAGGGGTGGCTCAGGCTCTGGCCTGGGCTCAACCACCCCAACAACTGCAGCTGATTGGGCCTCCCTCCCTCCTGAGGTTGGGGGTGAGACACCTAACAGAGGGTAAACCAGGAGAAATGTTAGTATTTGACATAATCTTGCTAAAAGAATGTTTGACCATTTTCTCTAGTGGTGAATGAGTTTGCTTGTTTATTTGTTTGTGCTGGGAATCAAACTCAGGACCTTTACTTGCCAGGCAGGAACTTGTGCCACTGCACTAGATCCCCAGCCCCGATTTATTTATTTTTAATGTGTGTGTTTTTGAGATAGGGTCTTACCATGTAGTTCAGGGTGGCTTTGAACTCACTGTGTAGTCCCGGTTGGCTTCAAACTTGTGGCAATCCTCCTACCTCAGCCTCCTGAGTGCTGGGATTATGGTCATGCACCACCATGCCTCGCAGTGGTGGGTTTTTTAAGTGACAGGGCCTGTGTTGCTCAGCCTGGCCGTGAACTTCTGGGTGCAAGTGAACCTCCCACCCCGGCCTGAGCACCTGGGACTGCTGACACTCGCCACTACGCCAGGCCGGAGCTGACAGCTTGACAGGTGAAAGAATGCATCTGATGCCTTTAATTCTTATTTCTAATTAGAAGACTGCGCATTTTTCATCAATCTGTGGGTTACTTATATTTCTTCTATTTACATCCTTTGTTTAGTTGTCTTTGGTGCTGGCTTTTCATTAATGATTTATAGATACTGTTTATATAGTGTAACTTTAATCCTTTGTAATATATCTTCTCTCTCTTTTTCTGCTTCTTTTTTTTTTTTTTGGTACTGGGAATTGAACTCAGGACCTTGTGCTTGCCAGGCAGGCGCTTATGCCGCTGAGCTATATCCCCGGCCCTTCTCTTTTTCTGGAGACAAGGTTTCATTATGCAGTCCAGGCTGGCCTTGAACTCACTATGTAGCCCAGGTTGGGATCGAACTTAAAGGTGATCTTTCTGCCTCAGCCTCCCAAGTACTGGGATTACAGGCATGTGTCACGAGGGCTGACTTGTACAACTTCTCTTTTCTGTAGCGTTTGTCTTACTTTTGTTGGCGGCGTCTTGTACAAGAAGCTCACAGTTTCACAACGCCCCATGCGTGTCTGCCTTTGCCTTCTGGGTTTCGTGTTATGCTTACAGTTTCTCTCTGAGAGATGATTCAGCTGCTGCTTGAGACTTTCTGAGAAACGGCCACAATGCTCGTGGTGGCAGCAAAACATGCCATTCAAAAGAAATTGTTTATTTGAAAAATAAAAACTAGCACCCCAAGCATTTATTTAAATGTTAATAGATATGAGTGAAAATTTCAAATGGTGTAACAAGACTAACAGCTCTATAGTCACAGATGGTCTGACGCTGACAGACAACAGAGATCTACGCACACTGCGATTGGGTTGTTATGAAAATGCATACGAAGGCCTGAGAAACGGTCTATTTATAGGCTTTGGTGGTGCCATAATCCCCAATTTTCTACTGGCTCCTGATGTTGCTTGAGAGCTATGCAAGGCTGAGCTGGATCCATTTGTGTCAGAGGATTTACTTTTAGAAGACATCCTTCTGCATGTGGTAGATCCCCTAAATGTGACAAAGAGAAAATTAAAATGGTAAATAAAAATAAAAGCAAACGGCCCTCTTTCTCTCAGCCCACTGGAGCTACCATCCATAATTTCCTTGGTCTCATGTATGTGCGTTTTCTGCCTGCGTCTCCCCCCACCGCACCCTATGTAAGGTAAATTTCCTATTTCCCAGGGATAAAGGACCACTGCCCATCCCACAAATTTGTCCTAAACTTGTTCTGAAATGTCAAGGACTGTTTCTTCATTCTGTGACTTGTGACCAGTCCACACTACTCCCCACCCACACGTTCCAGGCGACAGTCAGCTGAGACCACATACTCAGATCTATTCCAACCAAGTGCACGAGACACTCAAACCCCTGGCTGACACACCCCAGAGGTGCTGCATTTGCAGTGTCAAACAAGGCAGCTCTGGGCAAGCAGCGATGGGCAGAGCTGGGCTCTGATCTTGGCAGGTTGGTCACAAGGAGCAGAGCCTCTTCCCATCCAGGCCTGGCTCAGGGGAGGCTGCTGATGCAGCTCACCGCGGAGGGCCAGGCACTGCCTCATGCCCTGGCCTGGCACATCTGTCGGGGCCAGGCGCTGGCAGCTCCTTTGCCTACATCTAAAGATCAGCCCGCTACACCCTCCCACTCACTGCCTACATGAGCCTGCGTGTGTGCTGTACTGGGGGTGGAAGCCAGTGGTGCTCTACCACTGAGCCACATCCCCACACCTTTTTATTTTGAGACAGTCTTAGTAAGTTGCACAGGCTGGCCTTAAACTCATGATCCTCCTGCTCAGCTTCTTGAGTAGGTGGGATTACAGGCATGTGCCACTATGCCAGGTCACTTCCTGCCTTTTCTTTTCTTTTCTTTTTTTTTTTTTTGGTTTTTCTCTGGTACTGGGAACCGAACTCACAACCTTGCGCTTGCCAGGCAGGCGCTTTGACGCTGAGCTAAATCCCTAGCCCCACTTCCTGCCTTTTCAAACCAGGGGAAAAGCCGCTTCACAGCCCAGGACAAAGTCCTTCCTGCATGTCACTTGCCTTGCTGACCTGAGGATAACAGCTTTCGCCACCAAAAATAAAACAGAACACACACCCCTGGGCCAGCATCATCCCCAGGGGCGCTTTCTGCTGGCTGGACCCCAGAGACCCCATAGCACCAGGGCTGGCGAGTGGCCTCCTAGTTCTCTTTTGGGGCCCAGCGTTCCAAATAGTGCCACAGTCCCTGGATAACATTTGGGGGCACTGGGTGAAGAGTGGTTTGCAATACTCTAAAACCCTTGCTGGAGGGTGATTTTACTGCAGATTTGACAAAGATCTGCCCAAATGGCAGAGAAGCAGCGGAAGATTCCCTATGTTGATTTCCCGCTGAGAAACGAAGCCCTGCTGTTTATGCTGATTTACAGAATGAATCTGCCAACAGCAGCCTCCATGTCTCCTCCGGGCCCCATCTCACTCCAACTGCAGCCCAGCACAAGCGGCTCATTGTGTGCTGCCCACTTGGGGCGTGGTGGAGTGAGGGTCTCTGGCCGCGGGCCACACTCCTTGCATCCCTGTGCCTGTGTGGGGACAGCCAGGTGAGCGGGCTGGGGACCAGGCAGCCGAGGGAAGTGCAGATGCACGGAGGCTGCCGATGGTAAAAATGCAACAAGAGGACGGAAGCATGAGCCCGTGGGGAGCAAGGAGAATCCCCTCGCAAAGCACAGCTGACTGAAGAGGCGTGGGGATGGGGCCCGGCTGTGGGCAAGGCCAGGCTTCACTATTTCATAGGGAACCACACTCGGGGACACAGCAGGCATTTCACCCCCTCAAACACATACTATGAAAACCAAGCGAGGGAGCCAAGGGGGGTGAGCGCTGTCTCACGGTTTGCTTTGTTCTAATGGGTACAACTGAGATGAGAGGCCACACATACTTTGAAGGTGACATGCAGAAATGAAAGCTCTGAGTTAGGGTTAGGGTCAGGGTGTGGGTTAGCCCTCTGCAATGAGACCAGGTCGCAAGAACCTAGAGGCGCCCTCGCACGCCACTCAAGGGAGCGGGACCAGATGCCTTGTGAGGTCTCCTGCTCTGCAAGAGCCACTGAGGAAATAAGTATTTCCTAAGGCGGAGAAATAAACGAAGGAAATAAGAAAATGTCTTCACTGGAGAGTATCTGGCGGTCACTTGCGCACTAAAAACCACAAATTAAACTAACATTTAATATGCCCTTAATTTCTGTGCTCTGGCAGAAGGATTAGCACATACAAGATGTTTGTTTATGGATTTAACGAGAAATGGAAATTCAGTAACATTTGCTTTCCTTTCTCTTCCCCCACTCAATTTTTGTTTTTTATTACCCAGAAGGAAAAGAAGTAGAAAAACTGCAGAAGCAAACACAACAGCTTGCAAAAGCTGACTGCAGACTTGCTTCCCTATTCCTGCAAGTAATTCTGTTACAACCTGCAGTCATTTTGGGGCCACACTCTCCAGACTTTAGGGATGGTCTCCATCCAGCAAGGCCTTACAAGGCAAAAGGGGAGTAGGGGTGCACATGCGTGTGTGCCCTAGCAGAAGCCCGGTGAGAAGGCTCTCAGCCACAGCGTTGTTATGAAGATTAAGCCGGCCCCAGGTGTGAGATGCCACCTCTGCTCCTGCTCTGTGCGGAGAGCACCCCAGAGCAGACACGGCCCAGCCCAGAGGCCAAGCAAAGTGGGAAGGGGTGGACGGAAACCATTTCTGCAGCCCCTGAAGAAGCCAGGTGTGTCTACAGCCAAATGCTCCTGCCATGCCTGACCTGCACAGGCCACACGCCTGTCCATGTGCGAAACATGGCCTGTGCACATGCGTGCCACACACGCCTGACCTTATATGACCTCAGAAGGAATAGGGCTTAGCTGGCTTTTTGGTTGCGCTTTTGTGGCCTCTTCTCTGCTACCCATGTAAAGGCTGGAAGTTGAGTCTCTTGGGTATTAATGAATGGCAAGGAGAGCAATGTGCCTCCAGGAGGAGCATCACAGAATTCTGCAGCCACAAAAGCAGTGTAGCAGGTACTGGCAGAATCACAAATGCCAAGCTGGGTGTGCTGGCATAGACCTGTAATCCCAGCACTCGAGACCCTGAGGCAGGATGACTGCTGTGAGTTCAAGGCCAGCCTGAATTGCATAGCGAAACCCTCTCAAAAAAAAAAAAAAAGAAAAAAAAGAAAAAAGAATCACAAATGCCAGGAAGACATAAAACTCTTTGTTACTTATTTAAATGAGCTTTCATTTCTGCATGTCACCTTCAAAGTAAATGATTTATAGGTTTTTTGGTGGAAAGGTTCTTGGAGAAGAGAAATTATCTAAAAACAAAAAAATTTCTAAGGTAAAGTTAAAATTGGAGAAGTTTTTACAAACTAGAACATTATGGTCATAATCAGCTTAGGAATAGAGTATTTAAAAATCTGAAGCAAGGCTGGGTGTGGTAGTGCATACCTGTAGTCCTGGCACTCAGGAGGATGAAGCAGGAGGATTGCCAAGCGTTCAAGGCCAGCCTGACTACACAGTGAGACCGTCTCAAAACACCCAAACTAAAATAACCCAACCAAAAAACAAACAAAAAACCCAACCCAAACAAAAAAAAACACTGAAGCAATGTTTGTGTTGTGGATCAGTCCTTAATTATCAGCCATTAGCTGCAAAGGCAATATTGAATAATGGCTAATTTTAGTAAATGCTTCAAAGCAAACCAGAGCAGTTATGCACTGTCCCTTTTTCCCTGAGACCCTAGGTTGCCAAAGACATCAAGGAACATACCCCCTCGCTTTGAAGCCACCGAAACTAGTTTTTCTCCTCTTGGGCCTCTGGGAGGCTGACATCTTCTTCCTCTTTCTTTCATTTCTGGTTCTATTTGTGAAGTAGTGGGAAGACACAGGCATTTCCTCCTCCAGCTCCTCAGGGGCATTCCTCCCCGTGCCTCTGTTGCCCGACAGGCTGGTCCCTGGGGAAGCTTCCTCGGCTGCAGAAGGGAGAGGCAGACATTTACCAGCGATACTAGGTTGTCTACCGGTCTGTCTCTATGAAGACACACGGCTCAGGGGCCCAGTTCCGCCAGTACCCAGCTGCTTGGCTGGCACTTTCCTGCCATCCAGCTTCAACAGTTCAGCAAGAAGCAAACATTTCTTTGCCATTTCACAAAGCTCCAATATGCTCATTGCCAATTATTTTTAAATGAAAGGGAATCAGAAATTGTTATTTAGAGAATGTGTGATAGTCTTTAAACTAGGGATCCCAGTGCTACTCAAACTCTGCTGAGCCAGACTTGTGTTCTTTTTTTTTTTGTACCAGGCATCGAACTCAGGACCTATGCTTGCCAGGCAGGCGCTTGTGCCACTGAGCTATATCCCCGGCCCCAGACTTGTGTTCTTGTCACTGACTGAGCAGTAAATCCTGGTGAGCAATTTGAAAAATACACAGCGCTACAGAAATGTTAGGCAATTACTTATCACTGGAAACACGCTCAAAGAGTACAATATAAGGGAAATAATAAACTATGTTCTGCCCATCTTTGAACATGGGCATCAGAAAATTCCAAACCATATTTTAACACTTCAAAGACAAAAGCCCCATCTTTTCATAAGTGCTGTGGACATTCCACATATTCTTCAGGGAGTTGGCCTGTATGAAAGCATATATTTGCAAAGAAGATGGTAATTTCCATAGGGATTTGCATCCCAAAGCAACTCAAAAGCAAGACATTTCCTTCCTGGTCACCCAGTGACCCCAGCTCCATTTCCTGCTGGCCTAGCACACCCTCTGGGGTAGCTACTGCCCGCGGATGGCGTGGAAAGATCAGGATCCCACCATGGCACCTTCTAGCCCTGGTCACATGGGGAGGGACTGCAGCTCAGGGGCTAAGAGCCCTGGTCACCTAGCTGTGTGACTGGGAAAAAGCAAGCCGCCTCCTGCTCACCTCCAACACACACGACCTGGGTGTTGTGAAGATGGGGTAGTACAACAAGGCCCAAGAGGGCAGTGACCATGCTGCCTGATGCTTCCCCAGAGCTGCCTTGTCTTATGCTGTAAGAGCCCCCTCCAGATCAGTTACCGTATGGAACAAATGTTATGTTCCTACCAAGAGAATCTCAAAGGGACCCACAGCATGGTTGTTAATGGAACAAATACCATGTGAGAGAATGTATGAAGATCCTACCTTGCAGCAGTTTGCCAGTGGATATAAACTTGTGGAAAGAGAGTGTGAAAGATGTGCTCACTTGTTTCTCGTCCTGCTCAGCACTGTCATTGGCCTGCTCAGCACTGTCATTGCCCCTCCTCAGCCCACTACAGAAACAGGAAAACGCTGGACTGGGCTGGTCTGCAGGGTCATATAGCACGGCAATGTCAGTGGAGGGCAGACCATGTCCCACCAGCAAATACTTCCTTCAGCTCATGTGAAGCTATAGCACAGGCCCACAGTGGCCTTCGGGAAGGCCTGCTAACAATTCCTTCTTAAAATGACTAACCACAATGGCATTCAATGATTCAGTGTTCACTCTTCAAAAACATTCAAACTCTGTTCTTCAATTTTATCTTTAGACGGGATTGTTAGATAACAATAACAATTGTTAGGAACATGTTCCTTCCTCCAATAAGGACGGAAGCACAGAAAGGCTGCAGGTACCCTGCCAAGGATCACAGGGTGGCAGACGTGAGATGGTCCCCAGGGCTCCTGACTCCTTGGACACAGCCTCGGTGGAAGCAGCAGTGCCTGGACTCACAGGTCCCCACGTGGGCCTTATGTGTGGGTTTAATGACCATCTCCCCTGGAAACCCAAATGCCAATGTCCTCTCAGAGGTGCCTATTTGCCATGGGGCTCCTCTGAGGACTTTAACTTCCGTGTGACAAGATGAAGGAAGCATTACACAACCCAGAAACCCTGTAATCTAATCTGGTGAGATGCAGTGTTTAACATTCAGACAGGCTGGGGGTACTGAACCTGGCAGTGTCCACTGAGAGTATTTCTGTAGCACTGGAATCACTTCTGCACCATACTTTTCCAGCTTGTCTTCAGTAACACCATCAATTTGAAGCAAAACCTCAGGATCAGACGATAAAGATTCTGTGCATGAGAATAAAATTAGGAATTTAAATTACCACTCATAGAAAACCCACTGAATTCATGCTCATTCATTCATTCAGCTCATGTTTGTTAAGTGCCAGCTAACTTGGGCACTGGGCGCAGGGGCTGATATTTCAAAAGGCCAAGGCAAAGTCAGTCCTGCAGAGGCGGCAGACTGGCCCAGAGGGCAGGGCCTACCATCCAGTTCTAGCAGCAATGTTGCAGAAGCCAGGGCAGCCAGCAGCAGTGTGTGGGGCGGGGGCAGAGGGTGGGACCTGTGTGGGCCTCACTCTCCCTTGTCCACTTCCTGAGTGCCAAGACTTGTCTGGCTGCAAGACTAATGTCCCCACTGTTTGCTGAGAATACCCACATTTCTATTTCCAGCTCTGACCTCTTCTGCACTCCAGACTCACGCAGCCCACCCGAGGCGGCACAAGCACATGGCTGCTGCCCCCAGCCCAACTGTCCTTCCCCCAGGCTTTCCACAGGGTGTGGGGCGAAGCGCAGGCAGCTTCGAGTCCTCTGCAGAGGCGGCAGGCACATCCATCTTGCAGTTGGACAAGCCTGTCATTTTAAAGGTCCCTTGGGCTGGGGTATGGAAAAATGGCCTGCGAGGGGAACAGTGGGACCTGGAAGCCCAGGGTGAGCCACTGCAGGACCAGGAGTCTGCAGGATTTATGGACACACTGGCAACGGGCAGTGTGGGAGTAATAATTCCTCGTGTCTGATGTGAGCAAAGGTAGACTGGATTTCAGATCCTTTCCAATCTGTGATTTTCACATCGCTCCTACATTGAGAGAGAAGCAACAGACTGTGGGACAGAACAGAAGGACTGTGAGAGGGGCTAATGGAAAATGAGATGGGAGAGGCGAGCAGAAATGTAGACCCTTGACAGAATTTGTATTTCATCTAGAGAGCTGTTACAGTTTTAATGATTTTGGAAAGATTAAAGTATGTATCATATCCACATCGAATGTAAGGAGACCAGTTAGGAAACTGTACTAATAGCCTAGGAAAAAACTAAGTCTCTGATTTTCTTTCCCATATTCGCATTCTTGAATTCAAGATGTGCCTTACAACTGCTGAAGGCCAAACGGCAGCAGTACGGAGCTGTTACTGCACATGCGTATGGGTAGTCAAGGCTAGTAACACTGCCAGAGGTCAAAAGAGTCACTGCCCTGCTGGTACCTTAACGGGTGAGTGTGACTGCCACATGAAATGTCTTCAAGACTCTACTGTGATTAGCACTATGCAGAAAAGCAGGGCACAGTAAGGGGAATACACTTGGCACTAATTAAGTACCCTCTGTCTTTGAGGACATGACCTTGGTTTCACAATTCCCAACATGTAAGAGCCGAATGTTTTACATGACCTAAAAAAGATGCCAGAGTAGATAAAGCAGGGCTACATTTTGTCACTGAGAGATGTGCAACTGTCTGTTGACAACTTCTGGTGTCTGGTGCCATCAGAAAAGAACCACCATTCAAACAGATAATGTGAGGATGGACGCTGAGCATGCACGAGGCCCTGGGTTCCAGCCCTAGTACCACAAGAAAGCAAAACAACACACACAACCAAAGCAAACCAATCAAACAAATAAACAAAAACCAAATAAAAACCATGGGCATTTTAGTGATGACACAAAGACGTAGACAACTGAGTCAAAAAGTGATTTGGTAGAAGGAATGTGAATTGAAAACGGGCTAGAATCTCAAAAATAAGTATGAGCTGGGTGTGGTGGTGCACACCTGTAATTCCAGCACTTGGGAGGCTGAGGCAGGAGGATCGTTGTGAGTTCAAAGCCAGCCTGGCCTACAAAGTGAGCTCAAGGCTAGCCTGAATTATATGGCGAGTCTGTCTCAATTAAAAAAAAAAGTATGACATTTGTTTAATTTTTTGAGACAATGTCTCACTATGTAGTCCAGGCTGGCCCTGAACTTGCCATATAGTCCAGGCTGGCTTCGAAGTGGTGATCCTCCTGCCTCAGCTTTGTGAGTGGTGGGATTACAGGCGTGTACCACCATGCTTGGCTCATGATTATGACACTTTATGCAGGAAGAACACAGAAAATAACGTGCACCAGACCATTATGTGAGCAACTTATTTCCCAGAGACTTTGCTACTGAAATTCTGCATTGAGCTATCTCAATCCATGGAAATAACCATCAGCAAATTATTTCTTAATGAAACACATAGCAATATGCTAGATCCAGATTCAAACAAATATAGCCTGCTTTCATAAGGAACTTAGTTGTTCATTGTAAAGGCATTTGTTCATAAATATAGGTAATAATAGTAAAGCAGGCAAATAATCGGCACAGGTTACAATTTTCCATATCCTAATATGCACCTTTAGAGGAAAGTATAAAGTTAAAATTATACTATATATTCAAAACTATATATCTGAAAGAATTTATCTCAAGAGTGAGTATAAATGGTTTCTCTGAGTTTTCAGTACAGAGATTAAATGAAAATGATTAACTTCTGTTAATATTTATCACTGAGCCCCCAGGAGATGAACTTCCGGCCCACCGACTGCTGTGTGACAGGCAGTGCACGCGTTCCTACCTGCGAGCTTCTTGAGTGTGGCAGTGTTAAAGATATTGAAGTAATGGACACCAAAAACCTTCCCCAGAGATTTGCAGACCTCTGTAAGTTCTCCAAGGCATTTCTTAACCATCTCTTCTCTCTGAGATACTTTTGCCTCTAAAGCTTTTTGTTTTTTCATGCTGCTGGAATTTTCTGTTTCCATAAAGTCTACCTTGTGAGAGAGAGAAATCATAGGAGTGGGGAGATGCATGCTTACACCCGGATGATGGTGCTACTTGACATCTTTTCTTTTTGTCTTTTTGAGACAGGGTCTCATTATGCAGTTCAGGCTGGCCTTGAGCTCACTTTGTAGCCCAGGCTGGTCATGAACTCACAACGACCCTCATGCTTCAGCCTCCCGAGTGCTACAATTACATGCGTGTGCCACCACGCCTGGCATGCTTAATCATACTCACTGCTGTGTTATTATTTTTCTGTTCTGCCGAGCACCTAGCAAGCTACTTGTTCTTCATCTTTGTACCTCCACGGCTTCACACTGCATAGCCTCTTGATAAATGCTTATTTGATGAAGATTTAGTGAGCGGATAACCCATTAATTGATTTTATCAGATGCTATAGTACTTGGTTTCAATTTTAAGATCTCTTTCCAATTAAAAGATCAGAATATGTTCTTACAGGAGAGTATGTATATAAAAATTTAGTACCCGTAAGCTTTGTACTTTGCAGTAATATATTTTAGTTCACTGATCATGAGACAATAAAATAAAATAAACATTTAAAATACTATACCTTTAAATGCCCATTTAGTACTGATTGGGCTTTAGTTCCCAGCATGATATAGGCAATTGGTTGGTCATTGGCATTGATATACAGGTCTTCATCCAAAATCTTGTCAAGTATTAGCTTTTTAAAAAGTCTTTCAGCATTGTGTCGTGAATAAGCAGATCCCTTTCCAAATATACCTGACTGAACTTTGGCACTCTTACTCCCTAGGGAGGAACAAAAGGTTAGGTGAGTAAAACTAGGGACATCGTCCTCTCGTATGCAAGAGGCTATGTCACTTATGGGCATGTTTGGACACAAAGAATAGATTGTCTATTTCACAGGAAAACCCGTGGCACAAAGAGACTTTCACATAGACTCATTTTTGTACAACGAGAAGACGTGAACAGAACTCTAAAAATTGCTGTGGTTGCATGTACTTTTTCCTCCAAACCAGGGCCTTGTGCATGCTTCGCTCCCACTTTACCACAGAGCTGCCGCGGCCTCAGTTGTTTGTTCTCTCTCTCTCTCTTTTTTTTTTGGTGCTAGGGATGGAACCCAGGGCCTCATGCATGCTAGGCAAGTTTCCTACCACCAAACTATACCAGCATGCCCTCCTCATCTTTTTGTAACATACACTTGACCAAAGACCACAACAAAATTAAGTTTATCTTTAAAAATATGAAGCTATTGCCATTTACAAAACTTTGATTTCTTTGCTCTGAAGTTTATAGAAATAGCAATAGCTTCATATTACTGTGCTATATTAGGGTAATTGTGCATTACTGATGCAGCCACAAAAAATTTTTGACAATCAGTTAAAAGTTTTTGCAATGTTAGTGACAGAACCCAGAGGCCTGCACAAGCTAAGCAAGTGCTCTCCCACTGACTTACAGTCCCAGCCTCTGACAATCAGGTTTTTTTTTGTTTGTTTGTTTGTTTGTTTTTTTCTGGTACCAGGAATCAAACTCATGACCTTGCGCTTGTTAGGCAGGCGCTGTGCCGCTGAGCTAAATCCCCAGCCCTCAACAATCAGCTTTATAAGGACAATTTTTGGCCCTGATTATTAAAACTGCTTCTGGTTTATGATCCAAGTATTTAAATGTACTTTTCGTCATCCTCCCTGAGGAAGCCCATGCAAACTCTCAGCTCAAAGAGCAATGCCTGCCCAGGTGCTCAAGGTGGGAGGTGAGGACAGGAAGGTGGACACAACCTCTTTCTGCGGCCAGCTGGCAGCGCCCACTGCTTTGCCTCCCATCCCAGCACTGCAGTTACTAATGTCTCCACCCTGAACACAATCTCACTCTAACAATCTACTTTAAAAAGCCCATGACATCTGATAACAATCAAATTAACAGTTACTCTGGAAAGCTTTAACTTTAAAGAGTTCCAAATAATTACATTATTGCAAATTTCAGATGGCCTTTGGACAGCTACACTGAATTACTGAAGTATTTTCTTTCTGCAAATGATCTGCATTACTGAACACTACAGAGTCAGGGCTGCTGCTCTAGTCGTGGTGGGCTGGGGGACGCAGAACCACCCTACGGTGGAGGATAACTAAGAAAGCTGGACGAACAGAAACGCTTTCCTTAAACACTTGTAAGAGTTCAGGAGAAACTGATGAATGTGAGAAAAACTGACCTAGGAATCTACATGAAAGGAATAATCAGAGATGTAGCCAAACGTTTGTTTAAAAGGCTATTTATCACAGCATTTTTACAGTAGAAAAATGTGCCCTGAAATATAAGTACTTTAAATTAAGGAAATACTTATATCTTGTCATACAGAATAATGTAAATGATAGTTGCAATATGATAAATATGCGACTGGGGAAGTAGTTTTTTTTGAGTGCACGTATTTTTTGATTTTCTATGTACTGTAATGTAGAGCGATAGGTCATTCTTTTTTTTTTTTCCCCAGTACCGGGAATCCAACTCATGACGTTGCGCTTGCCAGGCAGGTGCTGTGCCGCTGAGCTAAATCCCCAGCCCCGAGCGATAGGTCATTCTGAGGGACTGAGCAAACCATCTTTTTACTCTAGTTTAGGCTATTTTTTAAAAATGCATGAAACTGTTAGTTACCTTATACACTTTACATGGGGGAAATAGTGTACGGAGGGTTTATCATTCCAAGCAACGTTCCTCTGTCCCACTTTCTCCGCCCAGCCTTGCTCTCCTCCGAGGCAATCACTCTTTATTTTTATTTATTTTTAACTTTTTCTTGCAGTGTTAGGGATGGACACCAGAGCCTTAAACATACTAGGCGAGCTCCTGCCTTGAGCTGCACGGCCAGCCCAGCAGTCACTAAGTTCTTTTAAAATTTTTGTTTTCAGCTCTTCTGGTGGTTCTCTCCACACAGAACCTGAAACCTCACAGTCCCCCACCAGCCAGGGCCACCTGACACGAACCTGCCCCCGCCCCGTGAACGACAAGACCACCCCCTTCACTTCCCCACCCCAGCTTTGCTCACTGCGTAGTACTGGTTCACTTACTGATTATTTCTGTGCCCTTAGAGAGAATGCCTGTGCACTCCCCGACTATGTGAGCGGTGATGAGCACTTCAGGCCGTCCCACACCGCTTGCGGTCTGATTTACGCACTTTTATTTTTATATCATCGAGATAGCATTTATGTCCTGTCCTGCCCTGTAATCGAGGTTAATCTGTCCCCTGGAGTTTCTATGTGCCTTTCTCTTTTTTCGGTTGAGAAGTCACATCTGTTATTCACTGTTATCAGTACAGAACTTGCTCCTCACTCTTCCTATCCACTGGTAGGGACCGCTCTTGACTGCACCATGGGGTGAGCGGCGCCTCTGCTTGCTGTGTTCCCTTTCCTGGCTGCCCCATCTCCAGGGTTGCTGGGGTCAGTGTGACGCCAGGCTGGTTTTAGTTCCTGTTTTTTTCTTTCAGGCTTCCAGGACTGTCTCTGATGGGGTCCACAATATGCCACGGTAGCATAAAATTATTTTGAGGAGAAGGCATGCGAGCTCCTGCAGTCTTTCATCTGCCAAAAAGCAGAGCCTCCCTCAAAGAATTCAAGTTATCAGCTCCCTCGCTGGGGAGCATCAAGGAAGGTTGATCTTATGAGAAGTTCCCATAGCACACTTAAACAGACTTGTCACAAAGACTACTTTGATGCCCATCTAGTCTCCTAACGACCCATTTATCTTTCCTAAAAGTCAACTGCTTTTCTCATATGCGCTGCTCGTTCCTTTCCTAAGATGGTGTAAAATCTCCTTGCCCCTTTTTGAGACAGGGTCACGGTTTGCAGTTCAGGCTGGCCTGGAGCACAGGGATTACAGGTGTGTGGCACGCTGGGTTCTTTATTACCATTTTAATGGGACCTCAAGCAAAGAGAAGACACAAGCCCAGGCTGCCTCCTTGGCTAGGCTAGTTCCAGGCAGTTCACCAGGCAGGTTACACCAGCTTACTCAGATAAACCTGCAAAGGCTTTATGATTATTTCTCCTGTGTAAGAACGCCTCTCATGTTAGTGACTTACATAAACTATATGAAATAACTAGTATAGCCAGGTACAGCGGCACACTTCTATAATCCCAGCACTCTTGGAGGCTGAAGCAGGAGGATCACAAGTTCAAATCCAGCCTGGTAACTTAGTGAGACTTTCTTTCAAAATAAATTAAAAAAGGGCTGGGGATGCAGCTCAATATGAAGGCTCTGGGTTCACTCTCTAGTACCACACACAAAAAAACCCAAAACCAAAACCACACAAAAAATATAGTTCATTAAAATTTTTTCTTTTATCTGAAAATAAAAAAGGGCTGGGAATATAACTCAGGGCAAAGGTCCCGGGGGTACATCCAGAAATCCTTAAGTTTTATAAGAAAATAGGTAAGAGATTTTTCTACGTACTTGTAATTAATTCTTTAGCAATTTATTTTCAATTGATATAACTCAAACAATAGGGCTGGTGATATAGCTCAGTGGCACACTGCCTGCCTGCCAAGTGCAAGGTCCCGAGTTGGATTCCCAGCACGAAAAACCCACAAAAACAAAAAACCTTCAAATAACAACATAGATCACTTACCCAAGAAAATGTCGACCAGCATGTTCATAGTAAATCTTCCAGAGGGACTCACATGCTTTACATTTCTTGTTCCTTGCAATGAGCTATGTTCTTGAACAAATCTTACAATATTTTTCACATCACCAGTCACATCTCTTGTCTTGTAATCCTACAAAGAAAAACATTACCTTTTGCTATAATTGAGGTAATGTCTAAGTTGCTACAGTTTAACATTAACTGTGGTAGACTTATTGTAATTCATTTCCAGACCAAAATTAAGATGAAAAACTAATAAAGTTTAAATGTTTACTCTTCTCTGAGTTGTAGGATAATTAGAACTCTACCATATCTTCTTTATGATGTTTCACAGACATATATCTTGTCTTTCAAACACGTGCTTGCACCCTGTGGGTAGGAAACACACACACACACACACACACACACACACACACACACAGTCCTTCATCCTTCCTCCATCAGCATGATGACCTTTGGAACGAAAAACACTGTCCATGCAAATTTGCAAGTTCTAACCTCTTTTGGGTGGTGCTATTGTCAATACTTTTAAAAAAATCATCTCCTACTAGTTCCCTCTCGTTTGCCTCAGCTGTCCATGTTTTACAGGTAAATTTTTTTTTTTTGGTTTTTCTCCAGTACCGGGAATCGAACTCTCGACCTTGTGCTTGCCAGGCAGGCGCTTTTGCCACTGAGCTAAATCCCCAGCCCCAGCTGTCCACTTTTTAATGTCACCATTGCTAGATGACTTTTGTGCCTTCATTTATCCCATTTCTTTGTCCTGGCAATACTCAAAAGTGCTCATGATTCTGAAAAGCCACACCATGTTCCTGTGTGAATTTGGGAGTCTTCCAATATAAAGCCACCCAGGGGCTATTAGCATGATTATGTAGCTTGCTTTTTTTTTTTTTAAGGAGTAGTTTAAGTGATTTGAATTCAGAAAGTACACATTCTTCTTCCTTCTTTTGAGAATGAGACCTTCAAACACAGGTTACTGTTAGATTTTAAAACAACCGTCAGCCATCTGTGCACATATGCAACCTCAGCATTTTGGACATGCAGATGCTATCTATCTATCTATCTATCTATCTATCTATCTATCTATATTTTAATTTTATATATAAAATAAAAGAGAGGGGGGTTTCCCTATGTAGTTCAGCCTGGCCTGGAACTCATGGTGATCCTCCTGCCTCAATCTCCCAAGTGCTGGGATTACAGGTGTGTGCCACCATGTCCAGCACCCAATATATTTTTTATAGACTTCTAATGCTAAAGAAAAGATATTCCACATAATACTTTATAAATGCCTCTATTTCAAATTACAATAGTGGAGAATCCTCTCCCTTGTTTCGTCTCTTGGGGCCACATGGTGGAATCTACTTTGTATCTACTTTTTTATGTTTTTTATTTTTACATCCAGGGTGTGGTGGCACATGCCGGTAATCCCAGCACTTGGGAGGCTGAGGCAGGAGGATCCTTGCAAGTTCAAGACCAGCCTGGGTTATAAAGTGAGCTCAAGGCCAGCCTGAACTGCATAGTGAGACCCTGTCTCAAAAAGAAAAAAAAGAAAAACAAAAAAACAAACAAATTTATTTTTAAATTTTTTGGTACCAGGAATGAAACTCAGGACCTTGTACTTGCCAGGCAGGTGCTTGTGCTGCTGAGCTGTATCTCTGGCCTGTATCTATTTTTTTAAATTAAGAAAAGAAATAAGTTGGTCATTTCCTTAATTATAAAAGGATTTTTAAAATTTCTTGTTTTACCTTTGTTTTACAGCAATTATCACAAGAAACATCAGGGTGTTTCCTACAAAACTCGGGGTTAAATCCATTTTCACCAAAGTAAGCCAAAAGCTGTATTCTTCTGCATTCTGTTATATTTTCACAGTAATGTACCATGCTATATAAATTATTGAAGTGAGTTTCTTTTGTATGATGGTTCCCATCTTTCTCCACTGCAAGAGATGAAGAGCATAGTAAATATACTCATTATAGTAGAAAGCTAGAGAATATCACAGATATTTAGAATAGATTCAAAGAACTTTATTATTATTATAATTATTATTTTTTCTGGCACTGGAGATTGAACCCAAGGGGTGCTCTATCCCTAAGCCGTATCCCTGGTCTTTTTTATTTTGAGATAAAGTCAGGCTCAGTTGCTAGGCTGCCCCTGAACTGTCAATCCTCCTGTCTGACATGCACCGCCATGCCCAGCTTTCATAGAACTTTGTCAAACATGAAAACTACTGTTAACACCATTAGGTCAATATAACATCATATTGTATTGTAATTCATTGGATATTTATGTTCACCCCTCAAGATTTTTATCTTACAGGAATGTCAGCTTTGCAAACTGGAAAGTTTTTGTTTGTCTGTTTGTTTAGGATGCTAGAGATTGAATCAAAAATCGGTGTTAGCACACCACTAACGCATAAGCAAATAAGCACAAGCTCCTACCACTATGCTACATCCCAGCCCCTAAATTTAAGGTTTTTTTTTTTTCTCCATAGCTTCATTAGCCTTAGGTGAACTGAATATTCAACGGACAGGGCCTGGCTCTGGCAGTACACTGTGCATGCTCCTGAGTATCTAAGGTCAAGACAGTTTAGCCAGTGCTTTCAAAATTTTATGCTAGCAGCTGGGAGTACCATCAGTGGCGGAGCACTTGCGAAGCATGCAGAGCCCTGGGTTTAATCCCCAGCATTGCACGGAAAAGAAATAAATAAACCAACTAACCAACCAACCAACCTGCATGCCAAGAAGCCCGGGCTGCTGCAGTAACCTCACAGAGATATTTAAATTTAGGGAAACACCATTACCTCATGTTGTTGAATACCACACAAACTCTCTGAGGTAGTTCAATATTAGATTGTGCTATATAACTTTTCTTCTAGTAATATCCCATCTTTGTAAGCTGGAGTTTTGGCAATTGCTATGGTTAAAAACAAGTACCTCAAGAAAATGAATGTGAAATAAAATGAAACTGTCCATGTCTGATTTGATTCTAAGGTTTAAAAACAGAAGGTGCACACTTTCTATCAGCAATCATGGCTACTTAAGAACAAAGGAGCCAGGCATGGTGGCTCACACCTGTAACCTCAACGTTCAAGAGGATGAGGCAGGAGGATCACCGCAAGTTCGAGGCCAACCTGGGCTACACAGTGCAGTCAAGACCAGCCTGCACAATAAGACCCTGTCTCAAAAAATTTTTTTCCAGTTCATAAGTGTTATTTTTTAAATGGTTGCTAGGTTATGAGGAGTTAAACACTTATTAGATTGTTTGGACTTATACAAATGTCCCTTGACTTATGATGGAACCATATCTTGATAAATGTCTTTTAAGTTGAAAATATCATTTGTTGAAAACCACATTTAATATGCCTAACTAACATGCTATACATGCTAGCTTAGCAACAGCGTTATGTAGAACGTCAGCTGTACACCCTTTGACTGCAGTGCTGCCCAGCACCGTGAGGGAAGACTGGACTGCACACCACTAACCCAGGAAAACATCAGAATTAAAAATTCCTGCTGCAGTTTCCACTGAGTGTAGACAGCTTTCACATCATTGTAAAGTCCAAAAATCATCAGTGAAAAACCACCACAAATGGGGGACTGCCATAGGATTCACTTAAAAACACTAACAGGAAAGCAAATGTAAACACTCCATTTTTAAAATTTTGCTGAGAATCTTTTTTTTTTATTATTAAAGAGTAAAAGAAGGATAACACAGTTATAGGGGGCTTACCGAATTACAGACAAAGTGGTAGGAAATTATCAATGGTTGTTGTTTTACGTATTGTTATCTACAGGATAGTTTCTCAGGAAAACAAAGAGACAAATAATAGAGAGTTACAGACAAAAGCGGTATAAGATTATGAATGGTTGCTGTACTATACTTTGGTATCTTCAAAGTGGTTGAGAATCATTTTTATTTTTATTTTTATTTATTTATTTTTTCTTCTGGTACCGGGGATCGAACTCACGACCTTGCGCTTGCCAGGCAGGCGCTGTGCTGCTGAGCTAAATCCCCAGCCCGAGAATCATTTTTAAGTAGCACAAAAATCATAGCCTCTGTAGTCAAATTAACCTGGGTTCCATTCAGCTCTTACTAGTTCTGGATCCCATTTTCCTCCTCTGTAAACAAAGAGGGTAATATCTTTTCATTTTTTCTCCCCTCGCCTCCAGTACTGGGGATTAAACCCAGGGTGACTCACCACTGAGCTACATCTCCAGGCCTTTTACAATTTTGAGACAGGGTCTTGCTAAGTTGCCTGGGCTAAGATCCTCCTGCATTAGTCTCCCAAGTAGCTGGGGTTACACACAGGTGTGACTGCACCCAGCATTGTAATAGTTTTATCTTTTAGTGTTGTTATGAAGATAACATGAGTAGACATGTTATAAAGCATTTAAAACAGCATATAGTTAAGTGCTAACGAAATGTTACCCATCATAATTACCAGACCGGGTAATGATGGTATTAGATTGTTTGGACTTATACAAAATGCCACTGGTAAACATCCTGGGCCACTACTCCCGCTGCTCCAGTTGCTACTCCCTCAGGGGTTTGGGGACAAGTTAGTTACAAAATCAGTCTGAAGCTTGCTTTTTCCACAGGAGTGATTCTATCTCAAAAGCTGGTTGTTATGGATAAATAGGGCAATAAGATACATTCAGAGTTTGGCACTATGCTTGGTACATGCCATTTGCCATGCTCAGCATCTCTGCCAGTGTTAATGAGAAAGCAGTCTCAATATAGAGAAATGTATTTAGGAAATATATTTAACTATCACCACAGAGCAGAAAAATGGGCAAAAGATATAATAAAATTCTAAAATGTGATTCATTTTGACCCAGAAAGTCTAAGTCTAGAAAATTATCCTATATACATAATAAGCACTAGCTAGGCATGCTGGCACATGCCTGTAATTCCAGCTCTCTAAACGGCTAAGGCAAGAAGCCTGCAATTCAAGTCCTTAGCATGGGCAACAGTGACTTAGTGAGACCCTGTCTCAAAATAAAAGATAAAAGAGGGCTGGGGATGTAATCCAGGGCAAAGCCCCTGGGCTTAATTCCCAGCTCCGCTGACAACGGTAACAACAACAACGAAGCACAAATATTCAAAAACAGCAGAACAAGGATGTTTACTACTATATTTCTGACAAATGAAAAATAACACACATCTAAATATCTATCAAGAGCGGACTGGTTTAAACCTTTTATGCCTTTGGAATGACACATAAAAATTTTTTTTCTCTTCAAATTCTTGTTCCTTGATTTTTTTCTAGATAAAATATAAGAACTTCATGCAAAAAATTAAAAAAATTGCAACCTTTGGCATAAATGGATTAGTAAACGGTAATTCCAAAAGCAGCCCCGTTTTCCCACTTACATTTTAAAATACATGCATTTGGGGGAGGTAAACACCAACTACAAGATGTTGCCTGCCTCTAATGGGGGAGAAGGGGGATGAGGAAGAACTAGGGTGCACAGGGGCTCCAGCGCTATTGGTTGTCTTTCTCTTTTCTCGAGACAGTCTCACTATGCTGCCCAGGCTGCCACATACTTCACTCTTCAACCCTTGGCCTCAATCTTCCCGATTTAGCCTCCCTGGCAGCGATGACTACAAGCACACTCCATTGCACCCAATTTTGTTCTATTTCTTCATGGTGCTACATAAGAGTTCATTATTTCCCTCCCTTTTAATCTTTCTTTGGAATATGTGCTATATGCAAGGATGCTTGAGAAAATTGAGGCTGAAAGATACAAAGGAATCCAATTACTGAAGTTATTTCTTGGGGCAAAACTGTATGGCATGATTTGGAAATGTTTTGCTTTGTATATATCTGCATGATTTGAGTTTATATATACACATGCACTGCTTTTATAATAAAAATGAACTAAAATGGAATTCCATAACCCCCTCCCTCGCATCTAGGCAAGTGGCTTAGCACAGGGCTACACCCACAACCCTTCACATTTTCTGATCTTGCTAAATTGCTCAGGCTGGCCCTGAACTTTTGATACTGGGTAGCTGGGACAACAGGTGTGCACTACGCCTCTGGCTTAGACATTTATTCTGTATTACTATTTAAGGAAAACTGGACTCAAGTACCACAACAGCAAGAGCAGATTAATCTCCTGGGACTAGAAATGATGGATGGTCCCAAGAGCTTGGCTTACTCATTATCAGTCTCTTCAGTCTGGTCACATCATGGTAAGTATAGAAAAGCACGCAGTGGGAGATTTCTCCATCTCTCCCGGCTCTGCCGGACTCTTGGTAGTAACCCTCCACGGATTTAGGGAGAGAGGCGTGAATCACAAATCGCACATCGGGTTTGTCAATCCCCATTCCAAATGCAATTGTCGCACAGATAACCTGATATAAAAGCAAAATCCTATTAGACTCCATGCATTTAAAGGAATATTTTAATAATAGATGCTTCTAGCAGCTCTATCCCTTATTTTACTTTAAAATGTACTTTAGTATCTTGACTTGTTCCTACTATTTCGCATGACTAAGGTGAGATGCTCAGAACAGCAGAAGGCAACAACGGCACCCTGCCCTGCTCCAGTGCTGACCACCGCTCGTCACACCCCACCTCCTTTTATCCAGCAGCAGACTTCCAAGTCAAGCTTGTGAAATTTTAGGTTGAAACATATAAGGATAAAAGTCTGAGAGCAGCTTATATTAAAAAACAACAACAAGGCCAGGGACTGTGGATCTTGGCCTAACCAAATTACTTAGGAAGCAAAGTGACAGTCACATTTCAGGGGCGCAACAAATTAGTTTTTAAGAATACCCATTTCAGCTGCCAATTTAGGACCTATTTAACCCAGACCAAAATGCTGTATCTACAGGCAAAAATTACATTATACAAATAAAGCTCTAAGTTCTTTTTTAGCACTTAAAAACATGAATCACTACTGCAAGAATAGTATTTCAAAAGCAATGGAAATATCGTTCAGCCAGACTGCAGCTAAATGACGTGATTTCAGCAGTGTGAGTACCAGAGAAGAACTGCAAGCTACGAGGCATGGGACAGCAACTCTGGGAAGGCGTTGCCTGCACTCTCAGTGAGTCGTCCATCGAGACTCACGGCGCTTTGATCAGAGGAGACCCCCTAGGAAGGAGTCTACTGTCACTTCCGGCGGTGGGAGGCTGTGCAGCATGCGCGGCCGGGGCCTCCCTGGCTGGTGGTGAGCATACAGCTGTGCGGCAGGGTCTGCAGGTGCGGTGTGAGGATACAATGACGCCAGTCCTTTCTTTTTTTTTTTTTTTTTTTGTCTTTTTGAGACAGGATCTCCCTATGCAGTTCAGGCTGGCCTTGAGCTCACTTTGTAGCCCAGGCTGGTCTAGAACTTGCAGCGATCCTCCCGCCTTAGCCTCCCCAGTGCTGGGATTACAGGCGTGTGCCACCATGCCTGGCCAGCCCTTTCTAAAAGCTCTGACTTCTTTAATTGGGAACACTGGCTTTGTTGAACTGTAAGTTCCTTTACTTCTGTGCTGTTTTTAAAACTTCAGGGTAGCACCATTTTTTATGGAGACAATAAAGTTTCAGTTTCTCTTGTGAATCTAACAAGATCAGTCTCTCTCGTGAATCTAACAAGATCAGCTGTCCAGGTGGTACAAGCTTACATCATACCATTACTGTAAGGGTTAGCTAGGCTGAGAGCAGAAAAATTTAGACCTTACTAATGTTTTAAACCACTCCCTCAGTACTGAAGCCTGAACCCAGGGCCTTTGCACTGAGCTATATCTCTTGCCCTTTTTAAAATTTTGAGACAGGGGCGGGGAGTGCCGGTCTTCCGACTGGCAGCTCGCTCCCTGCCTCATAGGCCCCTGGAGGGAGGGCCCCCAGCGCACGGGGAGCCATGTGGCTGAGAGCGCTGTTGTGCGCCAGCCTTCAGGCTGGCCGCCGCTGCTCAATTGAGAACTATCATGACACAGAGAAACAATGACACAATTGGCCCACCATGCACCGGCTGCAGATGCCCACCTAAGGACGTGTGTGAATCATTCAAACATGGAAAAATCCCTGGGAATACATGCTATACAATGGGCCACTCTTGCTCCTGCCATTGAGAACCAGAAAGGTCCAGAGTCAGCGGAGGAGCAGCTGCTGAACAAGGACTCAGAGAACATGAGAATGCAGACTAAGCCCGAGGGGTCAGAGGTCCTGTGCACTGGGGTCATGAGAGCCGCTCGGAAGCTGTAAACCAGGAGGACCTTGCACAATACATGCGGAGACTCCCTGAAAGCCTTTCTTCCCCTGATAGTACAGGCTGTGGTGGAGCCCCGGAGAAGTCTGCAACAGGATTCCTGCTGCCTGTGCTGACAGTTGGGGAGAGGACACTAACTGGTTGTGGGGTCCCAGTGCGATGGGAGGCTGGAGAGAAAACATTACAAAAAAAGGCTTTGGCCCCAGACGGCTCACTTGATTTTTGACAACCCTTAGGCTGTAACTACTTGTTAGATCCTTCTTGTGTATCTCTGTCTTCCTGAGAAACCACTTCTAAGATACCAACATGTACTACAGCAGTCATTGATATTTTCCTACTCATCTATCCATAACTCTGTAATGTTTGTATTGTTCCTATCCTATTTCATAAATGGATCCATGTTTATTATTATGTGTTTCCTACAACAACCATTGAGAATTATTGACTGATTATTCAATAGGTCACTCATGTATAGTTCTATTTATATTCTTTAGAAGCCACTTTGAAGATACCTAAGTATAGTACAACAACTATTGATAATCTCCTACCTTTTTTGTCTGTAACTCACTATTATTTGTCTATTTGTTTTCCTGAGAAACTATCTTGTAGATAACAATATGTAAAACAATAACCATAGATAATTTCCTACCACTTTTGTCTGTAATTTGGTAAGCCCCCCCATTATTGTTATCCTTCTTTTACTCTTTATTTTTTTTTGTCTTTTTTCTTGTACCGGGAATCGAACTCACGACCTCGCACTTGCCAGGCAGGCGCTGTGCTGCTGAGCTAAATCCCCAGCCCCTTCTTTTACTCTTTAAAATAAAAAAAAAATTTTTTTTTTTGAGACAGAGTCTTGCCAAGTCATTAAGTTGTACAGGCTGGAACTGAACTCATGATCCTCCAGCCTCAGCCTCCCAGAGTGCCATGATTACAGATATGCACCAGGGGGCCTGGCCATATGTATGTCTTTATTACAAGAATATATTTTTGTTAAATAATATGTATCTTCGTTACAGAATACTTATACTAACATAAAGATTTAAAGAACTTGGAAAAAATTATCTTTAATTACATGCATGATTAGGAATAAGCATTCTTAAATTTTAGATTTTTGCATTCTGGGCTTTTTTCCTTTCTTTATTCTATTCAGTATTCTTTCTGTAATGGTTGAGATTTTGTACTTTGGTCTTCTCTTTCTTATTTTTTGCTGTGCTGGGAATCAAACCCTGGGCCTCCCACATGCTGGGCAAGTGCTGTACCACTGAAGCATACTCTTAGCCAAAGATTTTTGTACTTCTGAATTCTATTATTTTCTATCTTTCCCATCTTCAAACATTAACAAATTTCCTGCTGGAGCCAGGTGTGGTGGCATACTCCTGTAATCCCAGCTACCTGGGAGGCTGAGGCAAGATTGGGAACTCCAGCTTAGCCTGGGCAATTTAGTGAGGCCCTGTTTTTTTTTTTTTTTTGGAGATAAGAGTTTTGTTATGTAGTAGCATATACTTCAGGCTGGCCCTGAAGTCACTATGTAATATAGGCTGTCCTCAAACTAAAGGTGATCCTCCTGCCTCAGCCTCTCATAAGGTGCCTCTCATAGCACTGCCACCAAAAACTGAAATTTGCTAATTTCAGGAAAATATGCTGTTTTTACTTATTTAACTAATTAATTAAATTATTATTATTTTTGAGACAGGGTCTTGCTATGCGGTTCAGGCTGGTCTTGAACTCATGTAGCCCCGGCTAGCCTCAAACTCGAGACAATCCTCCTGTTTTAGCCTCCTGAGTGCTGGGGTTACAAGCATTTGCTACCATGCACTTAATCTGTTTTTAAATGTGAACTTTAGTAATAAGCAAAGTTGAACCCCTCACCCCCACAGGGTCTCACTACATACATAGTTCAGGCTGGCCTTGAACTCCCTAAGTAGTCCAGCCTGGCCCTGAACTTGCAGTGATCTTCCTGCCTCAGCCTCTGGATTGCTGGCGTTCCAGACATGTGCCATCACATCTGGCTTGCAAAATTGAGCTTCTAAATTTGTACTTAGGGTTCTGTAGAAGTATTTCTTACTTTTGAGTGATTTGTTTATAGCTTAGGTTCATTTACTATTTGAAACTCATGTTTTTCTTATCAAAATTTTACAAGGTTTGCAGAAGTGGTGGTACACCTCTATAGTCCCAGTGCTCTGGGAGGCCAAGACAGAGGATCCAAAGTTCAAACCCAATCTGGGCAACTTAGCGAACACTGTCTCTAGATAAAACAAGGACTGGGAATGCAAGTCAGCACAAAGACCATGAGTTCAGTCACTAGGGCAACAACAAAAATTTTACAAGTGCTGATGTTTTATTTTATTATTTTTTTAAGTGCTTATGTTTTAAATGTTGAAAACAGATTCCTAATTTGTTGTTGGCCTCTTAATTATATTTATTGACATAGAAGTACTTATCATTAAATAATTTGTACCAATTACTTTCTTCTGGAAGTAATTTTATTTTATTTTATTTTTTTTTTTTTCTGGAAGTAATTTTAAGCTTAGATTTTTTTCTCTACTCAGAATTCATTTTAAAATAACAATATTTATTTATCTGTAGTTTATTTTGATATGAGAATCTAAAATGATTCCCCTCACCAGGTAACCTATGCCACTAGCTGAACAATTTCCCCTTCTTCATTAATTCTTTTTTTTTTTTGTTTTTCTCTGGTACCGGGAACCGAACTCATGACCTTGCGCTTGCCAGGCAGGCGCTTTTGCCACTGAGCTAAATCCCCAGCCACCGCCCCCTTTTTTTTTTGGTTTTTCTCCGGTATCGGGAACTGAACTCATGACCTTGCGCTTGCCAGGCAGATGCTTTGCCACTGAGCTATATCCCCAGCCCTGCTTCTTCATTAATTCTTAATGCCTTCCATATTATTTCCATATTATTCACTGTTTTTAAAAGTTTTCCAATCTATTTCTCAATTTCTGTTCCATTGATCTGTATATAATATATTGCAAACTTGTATTCATGCGTTTTTGGTTTTTTTTTGCCAAATTCTTCGTGATTTTTACTTGAATGCTCTTCCAGGCAAACTTTAGAAAAAAAATATTTTTTTGGGGGGTCTTTTTGAGGCAGAGTCTCGCTATGCAGTTCAGGCTGGCCTTGAGCTCACTTTGTAGCCCAGGCTGGTCTCGAACTCGCAAGGATCTCTGCATCAGCCTCAGTCCCACACATGCCATGGATCTCTTCAGACTATATGTGACTACTCTTACAGTTTTCACTATCCTGCTGTCTGCCTTGGACATACTACTCTTAGCTTAAACCCCTACCTCTGCTGCCAGTAAACAACATTTCAGTTCCCCCTTCCCCATAGATATTTTTGCCTCTTTCTCCTCCCATAACATTCCCAAGTTATCTACTACACCACTGACACAATTTTAGACTTATTTTGATGTCTGCTGCGTTTAAGGTAAAATGCGGTACCTGGCAGCCGTCCTGGTTGATCCACTTGTGCTGTACCTCGTCTCTGGCAGCGTCACTGAGCCCAGCGTGGTAAGCCAGAGCAGCGAGCCCATCCTTCTGCAGTGTGTCTGCCATCGTGTCACACTCCCGCCTGGACAGGCAGTAAATGATCCCTGAATCATCTGCCAAGAGACCAAAACAGTGCTGAGAAACAAGGACTTTTCCCATAAATAATACGGCTTATATTATGTTCTTTGGGAGGTGCAGGAGTTGAGCACAGGGTCTCATCAGGCAGTTCAGGCTGGCCTTGAACTCATGGTGATTCTCCTGCCTCGCGCTCTTGTATCCTGGGATTACAGGTGTGCACCACAACGCCTAGCTTTACATAACCTTCTTTGAAATATATGAACCACAAACAGATCTCTACAGTGCTTTTAACAGGATGATCACACAGAATAATTCCAGCAAGGAATTCATGCCCTGGAAATGAGATCTGACTTCTAATCATGTCTCTGTGAATGACTCTTGAAACAGACCTGGACAGAACCTAGGCTCTATTCCATATCAGCTTATTGGGAAGTCATCTTTATTCAAACTCTGTAGAGATCATGTGGCAATACTTATCAAGAACCTTAGAAATGTCTTTTGACTCAGCTTCCTCCTAGGAAACTAACCCGGGAAATAAAGTGGTATAAGGACTTTTGCCAAAAGTTTTCTTTGTAATTTTAAAAATTAGGAAGATTTTAATGGGCACATTATGGGAATAGTCAAGATAGAAAATTGTGGAATAAAATATGCTGTAACTAGTAAAAGTGTTTTCTAAGTTTATAAAAGACATGGGAAAATGCTCAAGACATAGAAAAGAAGTTACATGGAAAAGTGCTATGAACTTCAGAATCTCACTTTAGTTAATAGAACTCAAAGGCAAACACTTGGGAGAAACTACTAAAACAAAGGGCTGAATTATTCATGCACTGATCAAAACCGGAGGAAAGACACTGAAACCAGGAATTATAATATGGATATGTGGGAGGGAGTATTTAATATATTTTCTGTTAGGGCTTATTGTTATCTAACCAAATGAGGTTTTATAATTTCTAGAGTTGAGAGAGTTACAATATTCTGCTCTATAAATAGCAATTTGGTGCTATCATAATGCAAAATGAAACTGTTAATATGCAATTTTATAAATTCTATTATGGTGCTAAAAAACCATTTTATCCATTACTTCTACTTTTGTGTGTGTGTGCCTTTTTGAGACAGGGTTTTGCTATGCAGTTCAGGCTGGCCTTGAGCTCACTTTGTAGCCCAGGCTGGTCTCGAACTTGCAATGATCCTCCTGCCTCAGCCTCCCGAGTGCCGGGATTATAGGCATGCACACCTGGCTCCATTACTTTTATATATAATTCATCACATGGTTATACTCACATGGGTGATGCTTTCTGATCCATTCTAAGCAATCAAATGCCACCTTTTTAGGCTTTTTCGGTAATACGTAGTATTTCAGATTATGTCTGTTAAAGCTCATGCTAAACCTAGAAGAAATCCCAAATATAAGATGTAGTTATTATGAGAATGTACAACTGTAGCCATTGTCATGGACGAAATGTGTCTCCTAAATCTAACGCTCACTGCTTTAACATTAGGAGGCGGTGTCTCTGGGAGGTGATTAGGTCCTGAAGGTAGGGTTGTGAATGAGATTAGTGTCTTTATAAAAGCAGCAATCTTGCTGGCTAACCACCCGCCCATGGGTGTGGCTACAGTAGGAAGACCACCATCTACAAAACAGCAAGAGGGAGCTCAACAGAGATGAGATTTGTTGTCCTTGATCTTGTCTCCCCAGCCCCCAGAACCACGTCTCTGGATCTAAATCCAGGCTAGGATGGCCGCGTAAATGGCAGGAGGACTCTTCCCATTGTGTGGCATTGCAGCAGTCGTCTTTCAGGTCTCATTCTGTCCCAGTTCACTGCTGGCCAGCCTGACTGAAGACCTTCTATTGGCTCTCAGACTTGACACTGTGGTGGGCATTTCCTCTCACCTCTTCTTCCTGGGTTTACTCCTTAAGTGTGAATCAGGCCCAAATGCCTGGCTCTCCCCTCTTCTCCAATGACTCCTTCAGCACTCTCACTCAGTTAAACTGCACTCATATACCACATCCATGAGGCCAACTGCTGTCCTCAACGTACACGTCTTCTGAGCTCTGAACCACACTGCAGCATCTTTTTAGACCAGTGCTCTAAAACTGGGGCATGCAGTCCTCTAAGGCAGTGATAGCAAATCTCTTGGAGCTTTCAGTGATACAAACAGCCATGCGTGCCACAGGTTTGCCACCACTGCTCCAGTTCACAAACGTACGTGTTTCTCAGGGTACAGGTACAAGATGATTTTCACGAATCCAGTCTGTTTTCACATGTGCTTTTCCCAGAGCTGATGTGAGAATGCGCCTACACCCAGACACCCTGCTGGTTGCTCCTTTCCTATCTTCCCCTTTTATAACTGTCCTCCCATGCTCCAAATGCAGTCAAACAAACCCCAATTGTCACCCATTCTGAATTTCGCCTTTATGCCTTATTCTAGAATATAAAAACCTCCAGGACATCAAACAAAACAAATTGAAATATAGTACGGGTGTAGGTGAAACTTTCTTTATTCAAAGCACCAGAAATCCCATTTAGGGTTTCATTTTACCTGTTTCTGTCAAGGCTGAAGAGTAACAGTGGGAACGAAGTACTCTGGCCCTTATTGGGAATTCCGGTTCCAGATATATTAAGACTAACACAATGGACATGAAGGTGATTTTCCTCTTAGAATGTTGTTTCACCCTTGACTATGATCACAGAATGCTTTACTTTGAGACTTGTGGGACCACTGTTGAACCAGAGCTTTAAAACACAACACAGCACTGCAAATGGTAGAGGAATGTGAAGCAAATTGTAGCAAAAAAGGTGGTGGGTAAAAGCCTGACAGAGTCTCAGCCTTTTCTTCTAGTGCTGGAATTGCACCCAGGGCTGCTTCTTCATCATGCTGAGTACATGCTCTCCCTATGAACTCCGGCCCCAGCCCCTCCAAGGACGACTGTGCGAATTTAAGGAGTTAATTATGACCACTGCTATGGCAAAGGGAACTGCAACCTGGTAAAAACAACTGCACGGGACAGAAATGATGAAGAAAATCTTGACATTTATTGGAGCAGATTGGCAATGTTTAACATAGGAATGCTCCAACGTCTGTGCATGAGAATGGTCTTGCCTTTCTCCCCCACTGTTCATTCGTTCGTTCGTTCATTCATTCATTCGTACCAGGAATAGAACACAGGACTTTGTGTTTGCCAGACAGGTGTTGCGCTGTTGAGCTATATCCCCAGCCCCCTTCTCCCACTTTAAATTACTTTTTAATTTCAGGAAAGTGTTTTACCTATTTTTTTGTATTTTTTTTTTTTTTTTAAAGCTTTGGGATGGAAAGAAGAAAGTGTTGGGAAGGTTACAGAGGAATCAGAACCTCATACACTGCTGTGGGAATAATGTAAGTGGTGCAGCTGCATGATATGTCCACTGATTGTTGTTACACAACATAACCAGAACAGGCGAATTTATACACAGAAAGTAGATTTGTGGTTGCCCAGGGCTGGTAGCTGGATGTAAGGGCAAAGGAGGCTGCACTGCTAAAGGGCGAGGGTGTTTTGGAGGTAATAAAATATGCTAACACTGTGGTGATGGCACACAGCTCTAACTACACCAAACCTCTGGACTGCACACTTTTAAGTATGTGAATTGTACGGTATGTGCATTATCTCTCTCTCTCTCTCTTTTTTTTTTTTTTTGTCTTTTTGAGACAGGGTCTCCCTATGTAGTTCAAGCTGGTCTTGAGCTCACTTTGTAGCCCAGGCTGGTCTTGAACTCACAATGATTCTCCTGCCTCAGCCTCCCAAGTGCTGGGATTACAGGTGTGCGCCACCACGCCCGGCTTGTGCATTATATCTCAATAAAGCTGTTCTTACTTTACCTGTTGGAAAACAGGGTGTTGGGAATTACCAAATATCAAATTAGAAACAGTTCCTATCAGCTGATGATGAGATAAATAAAACGTGGAGGAACTATATAAAGAAATAGTATTAAACCATAAAAATAAGGCAGAGTGCAGGGGAGGGGCTCAGTGGTAGAGCGCATGCCTAGTGCTCCCAAGCCATAGCCCAGATCGATCAGGTGATGCTCGCGAATGTTCTCAGCCGGAGGAGTCAGGTGTAGGTGAGGGGTCTAGGGCGTGACTGCTACTGAGAATGAGATTTCCTCTTGGTGTGATGAAAGTGTCTTAACTTAGTGGGAATAGGGGCACAATTGTATATTTTTTAAAATTCTGCTGAACTGTACCCTATAAATGGGTGAATTGTATCTTAATAAACATTTTTTAAAAACAAGTCTTGACTCTACTCTCCCTTGACTGAGGTTGTACTATGCAGATGTGTTGCAGGTCTAGGGAGTCACATCTGTGCCACACGAAAATGAAGTATGAAAACTGGAGTCAACAGCAGGGCGTGGTGGTGCACATGTAATCCCAGCACTCAGGAGGCTGAGGCAGGAAGATCACCATGACTTCAAGGCCAGCCTGGGGTACACAGTGAGTTCAAAGTCAGCCTGGACTACCATAGTGAGTTAGAGCCTGTCTTCAACCAACCAACCAACCAACCAACTAAAAAAGAAAAATGGAGTCAACTTGTGCTCAGTTTTGATGCTTCCACAACTGATAAAGTTGTCAGAGGGATGTTTTACTATGCAATTTATGTGAACTGAAAAATGAAGACAGAATTTTTTAAGTAAAGAAGTAAATCTAATGTGGCTGACTGGCTTGGCAAAAAACTGAGTTTGTTCATTATATTAGTCATCTTCTCACCCCTCCTTTTCTTTGAGACAGGGTCTTGCTATGTAAAACCCACGCTGACCTCAAACTGACGGCAAGCCTCCTGACTCAAGCTCACAAGCGCTGGGATTACAGGCGTGTGCTACTGGCCAGCTTTCATTATCTGAAAGGGCAAATCTATATCCACAAAGTTTTGACAAAACTGTATGTAAAAGCATATCACACAACAAAAGCATTTTGTCAGAATGATCACTTGGAAAAGTATACTAAAACTAATAAGATTTTGATTTCCCCCAACTCTTTCAAATGGGTACATGGTATACAAGTTTTTGTTGAAACAGTAACAAAATAATCATTACTACAGACATCCTAGTAACACTATTTTTTAAGAGTATATTTTCCAGAAAAAGTAAAGTGAATAACTAATGACCTTACTTATTTTGCTAGTTAAATAGTTTCTAATTCTTTGCCTCCCACCAAGTTTGGAGGACCTAATTGAGATGTCAGCTGACAGATCATTGAAAATAATTTTTGATGACATATTATGATGTAATTTTGGCATATCCTTCAGAAAGAATTCAAATAATTGAGTGTTACTGCTACAATAAACTGCACTCCCTCCTCATCCACGTTTATGTAAGCAAGCAACATTTCTCAGTACTACATCTATTTAAAGAAAAAGCAGTATGAACTGTTTTAATTAATCTGTAGGTATGAGAACTAAAAAACAAAAAGTTGTATTTCATTAGGAGACACCTTTTTTCTTTTGGTCATGGGGACCGAATCCAGGGCTCGCTCATGCTAGAGAAACGCTCTACCAATGAGCGACAGCCCCAGCCCTTTTTAAAAACTGTACTTTAGCTGGGCGTGGTGGCACACACCTGTAATCCCAGCACTTGGGAGGCTGAGGCAGGAGGATCATTCCAAGTTTGAGACCAGCCTGGGCTACAAAGTGAGCTCAAGGCCAGCCTGAACTGCATAGCGAGACC